GTCATCTGTCTCTCGTAGGCACCGCGAGCATGACACTGAACCTCCGCAAACGCAGACCCTTCAAAAATGTACTGCAAAAGGAAGTTCACTTTTCAGATATTGTGGAACAGTCTAAAGAATGATGAGGTGAAAACCTGCTGTGAAATAAGATTTGGCAACCAAGTGTCTTTTCTTTCCTTGTCACGAATGTTAGCACTGGCAAATACCCTGTTAAAAGAGAGACCCTATTAATGGGGTGATCTTCTGAACACATGAAATGAAAAAGGCTCATAAAGGTGAATCAGCATTAAAACTCTGAGCTAATCAAACCTAAATGACTACAGATTGCAAGAACTCAGAATAACATTCAGAAAAAGTGAGGCCTTTTGACTTTTTCGTGTATATAAACCACATCTTAAAGGCCTTAAAATACAAAGTATATCTACACATTTTACATAACGGAGTTTGTTTGATTTGCACAAGTCTGTTAATAATATTAGCATCATCATTTCTACATTTGATGGAAAATCTCTATTTACACAATTCTGAGCCTGTATTTTGAAAATATGGTATATAAGGTTACCATAGCATCCTTTTAATGCTGCTTTAAAATGCAAAACTTGTAAATAGTGTCATATCAGAAGACTTGTGACTACGCTTGACACTGATGTCCTTTCAAGCATTTGGTAAAACATTAGACTTACAGTGAAACTGTCTTTTTCATTTACACTAACATTAAATTCTCCTCATACTTTATCAAACAATATAATATAATTTGATAGTTAGTTTGATAATCAAATTACTTTCACCTGCCTCATTTTGACTGCCACACTGTCAAGTAACACAAGTCATTAGAAAGGAAGACACAACACGTTAATGGAAGCTGTGTCCTTCAGCACCCCAGCTAATCTCAACAGGGTTGCACCCCCCCCTCCCCTTTTTCCCAAATGTGAAAATAATCTAACCTTTACCTTTACTCGGTCATAGGATGTGTTTTTTTTAAGTGTTTGGCATGAGTTTATGTTAGGTCCTTTTCGTATCATCTGGCAAATATATATTTATGATAATGAAAAACATGGTGACAGAACAGGGCACAGTTTACCTCAACTATCATCTTGACTTTGACCGAAAAGAAGCTGTCAAATCGCAACTCACTGTTTAATGGTATGGGCTTTTGGAGTATCAGACCAATATCATCAAAATAAACAATTCATGTAATGATGATTCTTTTGTCCTTCATAATTGAACAATAGTCCATTACATTTCTGTAGTCCACTGCTTATACATTTTCATCAGTAAATGGGATTTTAATTACTTTATTTCACATTTAAAATGTCCTGGAATGCTGTCCAGAAGAACAGCCAAAAATTCCTGGTCCTTTCCCCTTTGACATGAGTGTTTAATACACTGTACTTGCCCGATTCATCAATCTACTAAATAGGTTAACTACAGTGAACTCAGGACTGTTTCCTCCATTTATGGCAAATCCAGTGGGTTAGTTTATCCTGAACTAAACCTACATTTCAAACACTGTTACATGTTCACCCTGGACGATCCTGAATGTTCCTTGGCTGCTTTTCAACTACCTGATTAATCAGAACAAACTCTGATTATAATTAGGCTTTTTTTGTATCACCAACCACTTTAAATAAGATTCTATGAGAACTAAATAGAGCACATTTAGACATTTCAGTTTTAAAGACAATAAAGAGATATAATCATATACAAATTCAGAATTAGGTCAAAATCTGCCGGATCTAAGAAAAGTGATTGAAACAAATCTTTATGTAACATTTTGGCTACTGAATTATAGCTAAGATTACATATTAGTGTTTACTTATATTACATTTGATTCAGTAAGAATAGGTCTACAGCTGTTCTAGTCAATTGTCAATTATTTAGAGACAATGCAAATAAACAAACCACTGACTTCGGAGTCGAGCGTCCAGAGCTCTGTATGTTTTCAGAGGGCGACTTCTTGAATGAAGTGTTTTAGAAGAAGTGTTCCTGAGGCACACATTGTTTTCTAAAAGTCAGGGCTATTTCCAAAAAACAGGATTAGCTGTTGCTATAACGCTTACTGGTTCTAGTCTATTGCGCTCTCATTGTCATAGAACTGTGTGGACAGAGCAAGTTGTTATAACATGTTTATAAACCTAATAATTCTAAACGTAACAAACTTTCGAAACGTAACAATTACGGAACTGTAACCTTCAACATCGAAGAGACCAAATCAGATCTGTGCTCTGTCTGAACTCTCGAGACCCTTCTCAGCTCTGTTCTCTCTCATTTTCGAGCCGTTTAGCTTCAAAACTCCCTCCCTGCTGTTTGTGTTATAGAGGAATATTCAACTAGACCTAAATGAACGTTATAGTTCAATAATATTCCACTCAACTCTCCAACTGTTCGTTAAAAGTGTGATATTTTTTGAAGTACAGTAAACGTCAGTTAAAGTAAAACTAACTTATTTGTGCTCATGCCCGAAAGCAAATGGAAAAACACAGGTGGCGTAAAGCCACTTCATTATGTTTATTGATCATGGTTTCTATCATTGTTTAAATGTGCAGGTAGGCTCTACGTTGTTTCTCCGGCTAACCCTCTCCGCTCAGCGCTGATGTTGAGGCACATGCAGAGGGTGAGGAGAGGGTGCGCTCTCAAAGCTCGTTTCAGAGGCTACGTGTCCAGAAGCGCCTCACAGCGCAGACTGAGCACAGCTAAAGCAGCACGAGCTCCGACCGATCATCACACACAAACCAATCAAGCAGAGCTCAGCTGAGCTCGAGAGGAAGCCCACTCTCATTCACCACACTGAGGGGGCTTCAGCCGGAATCACACTGAGAGCCAGCAGCCCATGATTCGTGTGTTTAACCCTTTCATGTCCAGCGATGAAATTTAGCACGGTGTGAAATGCCTGTTCTGATTGGGCGAAAGTGGTGGAACTTTGCATGGTTATAACTTACACGGTCATCTAACAGGACCTGTTAGTTTTATTATATGTCATTTTTATACTTTTATTCACGATCAAATTTGGATTTTCTGTTGTTTTGTTAAAAGCAGTGGCCCTCGCGACTGAATTTTACTAAATAAATTAAGCAATAAAGAAAACAAGAAACAAGAAAAAAAACTTGCACATGTTCTTTATATTTGCACACAGGTAGACTTTGACCTGCCGGCCAAAGAAAATTTAGTGCTTCAGAGATGGACATTAACAGGTTAAAGGCTGGTCCTTTTTAAATGGTTTAATGTGGAAAATTAATTATTTTAATCAAACATCAGCAATTCTATTCTATTCTATTAGTCTGTTATATGAAATAGTATAACTAGTGTGCAACTCGTTTTTCATCACACCTAAATTTCACAGTTTTCGATCGTATTTTATTTTAAAAAACATTTTAAGAGCAAGATGATTCAACATTTTAGTTTAAACACAATTATATAAAATAATGAGCAGCAGACCTCGTTGTTATTGTTATTGGGCTCCTCTCGTTTTTGGAGGGTACATACACTCGCAGTAGCAGGCTAAGCATTTTCATTAAACTTTCATGTTGGCCAATTGGACGGTCTGAATATAAAGACCATCAAATATTAATATACCGAGTCTTATGTTTAATAATAACATCTCTGCAGCTTTTTCCAAGCACAACATTAACAAACCAAATGCTGTTGTCTTACAGTTCACTTAAAATTGTACTTTTATTTTACTTTCATTATGTTTTGCCAAGATAAATAGTAAAGTTTGTTGAACATATATTTCTCGAACATCTATTAATCTTACAAATGAATATGGTTAATATTTATCAGTATGAATAGTCTAAATATTTTTAACGTTAAAGTCTAATAAATCTGCCATTAAACCGCGTGTGAATGCTAATATAGATTAGCTACAGTTCACTGTTTGATGAATCACGCCTGTACTCGTCTCAGTATTCATAGGCAGTGAATTAAAAACGTCTAATTAAAGAACTCTATGGGAATCACCTTTAACTCATTAAGCCTTAGTTCAGAAGTGCGGAGTAAAGATCACTGAATCACAGAGCGCTCAAAGCTCACACGCTTTCCACCACTGCACAACCACCTACTGCACCTTAAATCACTAACTACTCACAGTAAAAATGAAATTTCTACGTTGTTGAGAATTAAGTGAAGATCGGTTTTAAGGAGACTCTGAAAGTGGAATATCTACTTCAGGCTTTTACATTTAAACTTAGTATGTGTAGCGTTAATGCACTCTTAAAACAGATGTGTTAAAAAACAACACATTCTGTCTAACTAGACACATTAGTGTATTCAGTTGGAAACAACACATTTTGTGTTCCTGCTGACACAAAATGTGTTGAAATATTTCTATACCCTGTTATGGAGAGCACATTTTGGGTTACTTAATGTGTTAAATCAGAAAACAATATGACACAAAAAGTGTTAAAATGGGTAACACAAGTTAGTGTGTTTTTATTTAACACATCACTATTTAGAGTGTGTAAATGATTTCGAATTAATTGGGACTTTTTGTTTAGCATTTTTAGCTGTTTTTTTTTTTTTCATTTTCGACACGACTTACTGAACAGATTGAGAAATTAAAAGGTTCATCCAGTTTGGCTGAAAGTTTGCGCATATATTCTGAAGTTAAAGACGTGCAGCGCTAACCGAGCAGGTGATACTGATTGATTTGGTGTCTTATCAAGTTTCTATGTTAAACACTTCATGTGATGAATATTAACAGTGCAGTGGTCTCTCTAATTGAGGGGTTTTCTTGTCTTCGTCCCGGATTGTAGAGAATGAGCTCGTCGTTATTTCTCCAACCAATTGGATCGTGAAGCCTAAAAGTGCGGGCTTAATCTCCTCCGGCCTGTTTGGCATTTTGATTGATGTTCCCGCGGCTCCTCTGTCCGCCGGGCTGTGTGTGTGTGTGAGCCAAAGAGGAGGCAGAAAAAAAAGAGAAACGACTGAAGTTCAGCCTTTCTCTTTCTTCCTCGCTCGCACACACACACGCAGTCCCTGCTTTCAGGTCGGGCCGATCGGAGACCGAGCCGGGCTTCAGTGGCTGATCACGCGCGGCGGCACGGAGGAACCGACGGGTCTCCGGGAGCGCGCGCCTCTCCGGACCATGGAGAATATAGGAGCGCATCTGCAGCACACGCACGTGGACGCCATCAGTTTCGGGATCGACCACATTCTGAGCAATGCGGACCCGAGCAGCTGCATGATTTCTAACCCCCGAATGCAGGACCTGGACTGCGGGCTGGGGGGCATCGTCAGCACCGCCTACAACACGGTGACCGGCCAGTACGGCTCCAGCAATGGCGGATACGGTGGCGGCGGCGCGTGCGGCGGCTCGTACGCCATGAACGCGGGCATGAACGTTAACGGGAACGTTAGCGGCCTTACCGCGTCCGGGGTGATCCGCGTGCCGGCGCACCGGCCCCTGAACGGCGTGCACGCGAGCATCCAGACCAACGGAGTTACAGCGCCCAGCAGCATGAGCTCCATGAACAACCTCACAGGATTAACGTTTCCGTGGATGGAGAGCAACAGAAGATACACCAAAGACAGGTTCACAGGTAACACAGGACAGAAACTAACTGCCCTCATACACGACCAATCTAATGTTTTACTATTCTGACCCAAATATACTAACACTACAATGCTATGTAATAACATTATAATAACACTATAGTTAATGTAGAGTTGTGTTTCGTTATTTAGATATATGTCGTTTAGTTTAGTTGGTTTAACAAAATGTTTAATTTGTTTTTTAAATACTGATCAGCTTTTAAAATATATTGTGGATCTTTATCTTTAACTTTAACTAAATCGTTTAAAAGTCAAAGTTGTATTCATGCACATGAATGGGCTCTAAAATTCACATTTTGGTCTTCAGTATAATAAACAGATGAATAAGAACAGTACTTTCGAATCCATTTAAACATAGCTGCTTTATTTATTTATTTATTTTTATTTCGATCGTTTGCCAGTTTTCCCAGTTGTTTATATATATACACTACGTAATACATTTTCGTAAAATAATATGTAAAATGTTGAGGCTGATTATATCTTTCTTTTTCCAACATGGCTGTAAACATTATGAACCATTTTCTGATTTCATTATAAAATATACAGTTTTGTGCCGAGCGTAATATTACCTCATATTCTGCTGATTCTGGTTACATCACTGTGGATAATATTATTGTGATAGGCCTACTGTTGGTGTGATGTGAGTAATATTCAGTTCTGTTCAGATGAGATTAATCTGGCCTCAGTTATCAGGTCACCAGCCAGCCTAATTAAACTGACACGCAATTCATTTAATACTCTCGAGCCTAATTTAGGAGCAAGCCTGTCCTAAATTAGAGCACACGAGCGAGAACCCCTTTATTCAGCTCCTTTACGCATCTTTCCTGCGCTGTGCTTGCTTTGTTGATGTTTTTGTTTAGGATGCTTCGCACACGTGTCTCAGTTTTAGTGCTAATGAACGGCTCTCTGGTCAGGAGCTTAACTGTGCGCTACTGTTTCTCTTCACTGCTGCGCTCTGCTGCTCTGTGTCGTTGCTGATTCTCTCCCGCTTGCTTTCGCCCTGTTTCCCGATCCAGTGGCCCTCTCACCCTTCACTGTAACACGCCGTATAGGTCACCCTTACCAGAACCGCACACCCCCGAAGAAGAAGAAGCCCAGGACGTCGTTCACGCGCCTGCAGATCTGCGAGTTGGAGAAGCGCTTTCACCGCCAGAAGTATCTGGCCTCAGCAGAGAGAGCAGCTCTGGCGAAGGCACTTAAAATGACTGATGCTCAAGTCAAAACATGGTTCCAGAACAGAAGAACAAAATGGAGGTGAGCTGTTCTGCTCTAATCTGCCTCTGTAAAGGAGATCTCACCAGCAGACAGAGCTGTTAAGATTCAGTTCTTTTGAAGCTAAAGGAGAATAAGAAACGCAGAGAAGCGTCGTGTGAATGCAAATACTTTAAAAAATATTCCTTCACATTTTATGGTTGCATTAATTGCATTAATATGTTTTGGGGGAAAATGGGGGGGGTGTTAATACAAAACAGTTTTTGTTTGGTATTATTATTATTATTATTATTATTATTATTATTATTATTAATAATAATAATAATAATAATAATAATAATACCATTATTATTATATTTAGGATACAATTATTTCTTCATAGTAATTAGATCACGTTTACATCTAAACTGAATAGTTTGGCAGATAATCTTATCAGGAGACAAATGTGTTACTGCAGTGAGTTTAATGTTAATGAATTATATAAATGATATTTGTTTTTTAAGTGAATAAACGATATATTTTTTTAATGTATATAATTCTGGCTTTTATATGTGGTGAATGGCATGCCTGGCCTGACATTCCAAATTTTCTTTCTTAATGCGTTAAGAATAGCCAGTCTTTAAAGGCTTATTTAATTTTTTATTATTATTTTTTATCATAAATGTGGTTCTTTTTAGCTAGAATTTTCTAAAAGGGGAATTCCATCGATTTTTCTCAATTTCTGCATGATTTAATCGTTAAGATATACATAAAAAGTTATTCAGAGTGGTTTCATGTGAAATGCCGTTCTAGGGAAACGAGTCAGAATTGCTCTCACTGGTGGTGATAGGAATCAGACATCTAATGCGTTTAATGTGTCTAAAATCGACATCACAAAGTTATTTTATAACTTTCATAAAACAAAGTAACTTCTTAAGAGTTACATTGCTTTATGAAAGTTTTCGATGTTTCGGCCTTAAATATATATTTTTAAACGCATTCACGGCGGAGAGGTACATGCAGGGTGCTGTAAGGCAAAATAGTCCCCAAAGAAAACTTTTTTTTCTGTTTAACGCCGTTTTACCATTGTAAAGATTACATATAAAACTCATAATATGTGTTGGTTTACTGGTGGTTTTGGGTAGTAAATAAAAGGCTATATTTGCCTAAATATCATGACCCCTGGTTTGACTAAATATCATGACCCCTGGTTCACCACCACTGTTTAGAAAATCCGCGGCAGCCTAAGTTTGACTACAACATCAAACCATCTGAATGACTTTGTTTACATATCAACGAATTATACTGACATTTGAATTCCGTTCTGAACGTAAAAGGTGTGCATGTTTGACTGCACCATTCATTCATTCACTCATTTATTTTCTGCTAAAATCAATTGATTAACATTTCAGAATACTCATTTATCAAAATTAAACTCCAAACTGTTTCGTTTTCTTTTTGGTGAACCATTCCTTTAAGAATCCGAGGCCTTTAAATCTTTGCTGCAGAGGATATGTGTCGTGTGTGATGATAAAGAGTCGAATTTGACTTCTTTTTATGGCGTTTGTTCAGAAGACAGACAGCTGAAGAGAGAGAGGCCGAGCGACAGCAAGCCAACCGCCTCCTGATACAGCTCCAGCAAGAGGCCTTTCAAAAGACTCTGAACCAGCCCGTGAGTCCGGACCCCATCTGCCTGCACAACAGCTCCCTGTTCGCCCTGCACAACCTGCAGCCATGGACTGAGAACACCGGCAAGATCAGCAGCGTCTCCACCTGCGACTAGCAGGGACTCTTTTATAGATCCAGAGCTAAATCCCCAGCGCTGAATCCACATCTGCAGTGTTCGCTTACTTAGGCCGGCTGGACTCAAATCAGCACTGCACGGGTTTATTCAGCGCCGGTTTGTAGGTTGTTATTTAATAATAGGCGCTTTGCCTCACATGCTCACCACACAGCCCTGTTATTGTGGTAACATATTTATTTCTTCACGGCTCAGTTCTGTTGTCGGCCCCGCACTCAGTCAGGCCTCCACGGTAAATGAACACGGTGGCCCGAATATATGACTGTAACTGGAGAAACACACGAAGTAACGCTCACCAACTGCTGTGATCTAATAAGGACTGTATTAGTGTATCCACACATGCACTAAGCTACGTTTAACGGCACATTTTTGCACGTTTTTTCTGGCTGTCACGGAATTTTCATTGGAACGTCTCAGTATGGATTTGCAGGCTAAGCGGAAGGTAGGCCTGCTTAGCCTGGTTTCAAGCACTTATTATGCAAGTAGGCTAGGTCACCTAACACCTCCCCACAAAAAAATAATGAAGGCGCTTGAAAAAGTTGGTCCTGCAAAGGGAATGGTTCTAAATGGTTCTTTGCATGGTGAAATGGTTCTTCAGATTGATGGATGTATCTCTCTCTCTACACACACACGTATATATATATATATATATACATATATATATATATATATATATATATATATATGTATGTATATATATATATATATATATATTCAGTATATTCGATATGTTCAGTATGTGTTCAGTATGACGACATGATGATATTTTATCGTTATCTTAAAACATTGTCACAATATGCTTTTCTGATCATATCGTGAACATTGTCAGTACCTAAATAACTCTGACTACATGCTTCATTACAAAGTAAGTATAATTAGGCCTGTTTAAATGGATTCAGTGCAGAGCAGTTTGAAACACTGAAAAAAATCACTGTGTTGTAAGTTTTCTTCTTCTTCTTCTTTTTATTATTATTATTATTATTATTATTATTATCATCATTATCATTACTATTATATGTGACACTACATGTTCTATTTTGTCTGTTTCTACTTATTAAGTCTAGGAAAAACTAAAAATCATGATGCATATTGTGTACTGTAAAGATGTCTTAAAGTATCATGATAAAATATTTTTGCCATATCATTCACCCTTAATAGAACCATACACAACACATTCTCCATCAATCTAAAGAATTATTTCGCCATGCAAAGAACCATTTAAGTATGAAATGGTTCCATATAGAACTCATGGCTCTAAATGGAACTATTCCTCTTACCAAAGAACCCTTGAAGAACCATCTTTTTAAGAGTCTGGTGCTCTATTTCTTTTATGAAATGTGTAATTTATGTTAAATTCAACTCATTTTTAAAGAACATTTTAATCTAACCATAGACATGTACCACAGTTTAGGATCAGTTTAAGCTTATATGGGCCTTAATTCCTCAACCTAAAGATATATTTTTCTTCACCTGTTTTACAATCGAGACTAAACAGTTATTTGATGATATCTCTGATGTTATATAAGTGAGATTGCATCATCTTCCCTCAGTAATCACCTATTCTCTGTAACTGCCCAGTCTTCCACTCTCTCTTTAGTGCTCTTATCACTGAATGAGGTTGATGGTTTATGTTGCAGAGGAGCTATGGTAACATGCTGTAGTCAAATGAGATGGATAGCAGGCAGATATGTGATGGATTTCCTCTCAGAGTGAATGACTGCTTCGGTTGCATGATAAATGTATGTCCTCCTCATTGTATGGGGAGTGCAACAGTGTGGTTGTGATATTAACTATGTGCAGATGTGAGAGTGTGTCTGAAACTAACCAGGAGCTCTTTCCATTACTGCACTACAGGAATGTAGGGTTAAGTTTCATCAGCACTTTCCAAATATGATATTGCATTACACAAGTGTCCATTTAAAATTTCCAGAATTGTAAGAGATGGGGAGCATTCTGGCATTTTCAAAGGCTCTTATACCGGAGGGGAAAACAAGATAAAACAAGATTTCCATAAAGGAACTAAGCCTGCTTTGAAAGCTTTTATAGACCTTTGTGATGAGACCCACTTTCTTCATGAACCATCACAACATGCTGACAGAATACTCAATTGCAAATGTCTTCGTAACAACAAATGTCTGGTTCTTTTTTCCCACAAGAGGATAGTGCAGAAGTACAGGACATGAATATTGTTTTTATAGCCACATTTCTGCTTTTTGCAGCACTTTGATATCCTACTTACCAAGTGACCATTAGAGAATGGGACAAATATACACCTACTGCACAGCGTTTGTATTTGTTACTTTGTAATATCAGAGTTGATGACTGTTTTGCATAAATACATGTACATAACTGTCATGAAAACCAGAGCACACTATTTAAACACATTTCACCATATGCAAATAGTATTTTAGTTTGGTGACAAAAGCATTTTGATGTTTTGTTCCCCCCTTGCTTGACAAATGTTGCCTTTTGTCAGAACAGGTGTAAATAAGAGATCGTACTGTTGCTATGAGAGGTGTTGCTAATCGTTCAGTACCCAGAATTAGGACTAAACATAATAAAATATAAATAAGAATAAGACAAGATGGAATTCATTAAAATTCTGTGATATATGTACTCATGAAGGCATATCATCACTATTTTGCATTTATACATCTTCATAGTGCCCAGCATGCAGCCTGTGTCAGCTATATTGTTTTTGTTTAGTTATACTTCAAGTAATTATTCCTTGTCATTTAATTTTACGAAATGTTTGAAAAGATCATGTTAAAATGTTCACAATTAATAAATATAATGATTGTTTGCTAATGATTATGTATTTTCTATAAGGTCCTAAAGTGCTTTCAATATGTAATACTGGAATATAGGACCTGTATATTAGACAGAGAGAAAGAGACAGATATGAAGAATCATAAACAGCTTTGTTGTTGTTGTTGATGATTCTATGCTGAAAATAAGAGAATTCTAGCCTTCACTGAGGCAATTATTCAAAGAAGGTGTCTAAAATATTAACATATTGGTACTCCTGGAAAGGTTTATGTTTTGTAGATTTATGTTTTTTTTTAGCACACTAGAGTCTTTAGGAATTTTCAAATGATCTTCCACACAGAAAAAATAGGGTGCTAACTTTACTTGATTCAAATCTGTACATCACTTCCAAATAAATAAAATAAATTACATAAATTTTTGCCAAACTGAAAGAAAAACATTGCGTTGATGTGATGTTTTGTTCTTGTGAAATGGATATATATATTTGAATCAAGAAAAGTGAGCATGCTATTTTTGCTGAAGTTTCACTGAAGTTACGGTAACGCCAGCCAAAAGCTCTTATTTATCCATCAACATGAGGAAGATCATAGAGTACTTAAATGAACTGAGTCAAAAGATTATTGATCTTCATTAAACATGCAATTGCTAAATAAATGAAAGCTTCACTATAGGCACTAATTAAGAGCTACAAAGAGCTAGAGCTGATAAAACTGTCTGAAAGAGGAAGACACAAGTGTATTTTGCCGCCAGGCGAAGTGAGGAGGATCATTTGAGAGGCAAAACATTCTCCATGGATGACAGTGAACAACTTCAGGGCTTAGTTACTTCCTGAGGTTACCAAGTCTCCAAGAACTCCAAGATGCCATGGCATGACCACAAACTATTTAAAAGGCTTGCCAGAAGAAAGCCTCTGCTGTCAACAAATCATAAATGTAGACGCCTGGCATTCACTAAACATCACAAAAACTTTGGAACCAGGTTCTGTGGTCAGATAAGGCTCAGTGGAGCAACAGATACCTGTGGTGGATTTGGCAGAAATAGAACCAATGTCACACAGAAAAAAGCTAATCCCCACTGTGAAGTGTGGTGGTGAGTCAGTGATGTGGGGCTGCTGACAATCTTGTTAGGGTGCATGGAAAATGTATTCTATGATTACAAATAAATTATAAAATATGAATAATTGTATGTGCAATATAAAATTTAAAGTACTAAATGCATCAGTAGTGCAAGGAAAAGAAAACAAACCCATCAGCAGCATTGACTAAAACTGAAACAGCATTATGTATAAAGTTGTTCAGTGACAGTCAATATACAATTAGACACAAGACTGTAGCTGTAGCTTTAGTTGTAAAGTTACTTAGTGACAATAATATTGAGAGAGTGAACTAGAGACTGTTAAGTAGTCTTCAAGTCTTTGACTGGATGCTCCAGTACCACTTACCTGATGGCTGATACCTGAAGGAGGACACACTGTGTGCTTGGTCTCTTTGTGTAAGTGGATTACCTGTACAATTTATTGCCTTTAATGGCCTCTGCTGTTATCACCACTCCCTGGGCAGCCTTATAGTCACATAGGGAGCCACTGCCAAACCAAAAAGGATGCTCTCTATGGTGCATTTATAGAGGTGGGTGAAATATTGTAGCCTACATCTGAATATTTGGATGAAATCTCTGCTTTCAAAGGCTGCCAGATGAGGCAAAATCAAGGAAAGCAGATAAGAAATGAGGCTTTATTCAGCTACATGGATGCAGCCAAACATCCTGAGGCTCCACAAGAAGTGTAGTTACTGATGGACAAGCCTCGCAATCATGTTGATATGGAGGAACCAGGTGAAGTGATCAGTTATGCACATGCCAAGAAACTTGAAGCTGCTGATTCTTTCCACAACTCTGCTGATATAAATGGGGCCAACAATTATCTCCTTTGTCTTGCCAGAGATTGTTATCATTGCACCGCAGACAGAGCACTGATCTCCACTGTTTGCTGTCTCATCTTGAGGATCAGGTTGACACTGTAGCTGTACTCAGAAATGCAGTTGTGCATGAACAGGAAATACAGGAGGGGTCTAAATACACATCCTTGAAGAACACCTGTGCTCAGAGTTAGTGTGGAGGAAGTGTTTGTTAGCTTGATATTACACTACATACTGAAGTGTTAAAGCTAAACACTGAGGGTTGGTTTCCAGGACAGGGATCTCATACCAGTATGACAGTAAGCTAAAAAAGTAGAAAAAACATATCTAGGAAGTCTTAAATTGCTAAGTGTAATGCTTAGGTAGCCATACAGGCTGAGGTATATTTTATTTTATTTTATTTCATTTTTCCCGAGAAGCTACATTCCCCTTAAATTGATGAACTTTTTCTGAGATGGTTAAATTTAGAATACATTTTGCACTTCACAACTTTACATTAATGAATGGACGCGAAAATAAAGAAGGAGATAGAACAATGATACAGGAGAAGAATACATAAATGGACATAACAAGGATAATAAAAATAATCCCAAATAAATTATTTTGATCATTGTCATTACCATCACCACCACTGCCATCATCATCATCATCATCATCAACATCAGTGGCAAATAACTAATAGAAATAACAGTATTCAAAACAATATCATAAAACTTAGAATACCAGATAAGTAAATAAATTAAATGTAAATATGAGAAATAAAAATGGAACATCAAAAATAAATAACATTATGTCAAATAATCTTAGACATTGTGTCTAAGACGAGAGATGTCTTTTTTCTTTCTCATTTTATTATTTTTTTATTTTATTTTTATTTATTTATTTATTTTTTTCTTGAATGCAGAATCTTCTGATATACGTGGAGCGCACTGAAATATAATAAAATAAATTCAAATTTGGGCTACAGCCCGTTGTACATTTATGAATGTGAAATTTTCCAAGAAGGCATAAAAGGCTAATGGCTTTATCCATCATAAGTGTTCCGTGTTACACATTAGAAACAATTGATCCGTCTGTAAATTGAACTCAACCAGGCCTGTTAATGCGCACACATTGCGCTGCTGTGCAGCTCCTGAATGGATTGCGTCCCTTAGATGATGACGCGCAGCCTACGTCATTTTCAGTTGTCCGAACAGCGGGCAGTTGTGTAAGCTGCTGTGTAGCGGAGTTGTGCTCGGCCAGAATGTCCTTTTTACGCCTTTGGTCTTTTAACACCAGATGTTTAGTAAAGAATGGATTGTTACTAGAGTCAGTAACAGGTAACTGGTTCATTAAGCGGTTTCATCCTGAATGTATTACAGGAATTCAATTCTTTAAGCTCGTACCAGTGAAGAGCGAGAGCTAACTAACGTTAGTTATCTCTCAAGCTCAGCCAGCTAACCGTGATGATGTAATGTGATGCTGATAGACATGGTTAATTGCGCAGTGTTAACAATGACTAGTTAGACCATTGTGGTTGGTGTATTGCAGGATGCTCCAGGAGGGCCGGGTATTCGGCCGGAGGAGTGGTGAAGGATAAAGAGCCGCTCCGCAAAGCAAAAACACCGCAGGGAAGGTTCGACGTGGACGACAAAGACTCAGAAACTAAAGACGTCCTTGAAAGTAGGTCGTTAGTGTCATTGGTCCCTAATTATAATTCCCTGTCTAACATTACGGTTGCAGCGTGTGTAGTAAATCTTGTAAACCCCAATATCAGTTCACTTACTCCTCTTTACTGTAGACATAAAACTACTCTGCTGAAAAAAAGACATGTATGACCATTAGGATGAAAACCTTTTGGTTTGGCTTTCAAATGAAAATTGGATTAATAGTTACGTTTAGAAACCAATAGCTTCCTATAGGACATGTTTAGATCCCATTAGTAAGCTATCAAATCCCAGCACACCTGTCAAACCATTAAAGTCCTTTACACTGTGATATTAACCCATGTGGAAAACACAAAATTCCATTAATGACTATTGGACGCCACCAGGAACCAACAAAAACTTTTAGTGGTTTCTGTGTTTTTTTGTTTTTTTTCAGCAGGGCAGGACAGGGTAATGCAAAGCAAACTGATGCAACATGTGTGGTATATAAAATACTATATATCACACATGTTGCACCAGTTTGTACAACAAAGTATGTACAACAAAGGTATAAGACAGATCACTGTAAACGTAATACAAAAGTACACTACATTAAAAACTGTGCAAGACAGTACACATATTGCACACTGGACAATCCAGGTAGCTTACAGAACATTATGTGCGAAAGGTTTTGTACAGCATGTTAAACAATATTGATATGCACAGATGGGTTGCATATTAAAGGAAAAACCAACATACAATGTCTTAGTAAAGTTTTGGGCCACCACGAGCCACCAAAACAACTTTAATATGCCTTGGCATAAATTCTCCAAATCTCTGGAACTGTACTAGAATTATGGAACACCATTTTTCCAAAGATATTACCACAATTGGTGTTTTGATGATGATGGTGGTGGTAGAGAGTGCTGTCCAACATGTTGGTCTAAAATCTGCCATAGGTGTTTAGTTGGGTTGCAATCTGGTGACTGTGAAGGCTGTAGCATATGATTTAAAATTTTCAGACTCCTCAAACCATTCAGCTGCCCCTTGTGCCTTATGGATTGGGGCTCCCATCAGGATAGATTGTTTTATAATAGGATAAAGGTCATTAGTCCTAATAACTTCGTGATAATTTGCAGTGACCCTTCCCTTTAAGGCAGGTGTAGGAAACGCCAGTCCTGGAGGGCTGAATTCCCACACTGTTTGGTGATTTTCCTCTTCACGCACACCTAATTCAGCTCATCTGTTAATTACCAAGTTTAGCTGATGCTGGACTCTGGCCCCACCCCAGACCCCCCATCCATGCCTCAATAGTAAACCCTCTTTTTAAAGTCATGTAGATCTCCTTCCTCTTGCCATCTTGATCCAAAATCAAGGTCAAAAGTATCTGCTCAGTACTTCAATATATGCAACAGAGCAGAATATTAATTGTGTGAACTGTATATCATGTAGTACACCTGTCTGGAAGCACCTGTACTTATGTTTCTCCACTCATTGAGATTTGTTCTTTAATTTGTCACCTTTTTGTAGATAGACATATAATAAATGTGAAAATATCTGAGTGTAGTGTGCTAAAGGGCAGAGGTAGTAGAGTTCAAAATGATACCGATGACAGTCCCAGCATAGTAGTCACAGTATGCATGTAATTGTTGTTGTTGTTGTTGTTGTTATTATTATTATGTTTATTTACTTGTTTTGTTACTTACCTTCTCCTCTAAACAGAGTTTCCAGATGATGTGAATCCACACACAAAAGAGAAAGGGGGCCCCAGAGGCCCAGAGCCAACACGGTATGGAGACTGGGAGAGAAAGGGACGCTGTATTGACTTTTAGGTTTTCTTCACAAAGAATATTATGAGTTTTTTTGAATACTGTTATGTATTTGAGATGTGCATCCCAACCAGGCACTGTTCATCTCTTTAGATGGTTGTTAGGGTTTTTGAGAAGTGACCCAACTTGATTAATAGTGCACACTGAATAGATGCTTCCCTTACTTGTATAATTTAATTCTTGCTAAAATAAATATTTTTGTAAAAAAAATGCACTTTGTGTACCTTTCCGTTACTAAAATATGTGTCAGTATGAAAAAAAGTGTTTTTTTTCTGTATATATATATATATATATATATATATATATATATATATATATATATTCTTTGTACGGTTATGGTTTCTATGGAAAAAATCGGTCATTTATTTAATGCCATTATACATTCACCAGTTAATTCATATCCTTGCTGTAATGATTACTGTTGTCTATTTCTTTTGTACCCATTATGGAGTTACCAAATAACTGAAATTTGCTAGCTTAATATGAAATTATGTTTTATGTTTATTCTTCATGCTTTTTACACCTGTGGGGTAATAAAAGCCAGCCACAGTACAATTTGCACTCTTGAGTTATTGAGAGAGTTCGGGACTTCTTGTAATAGTTTTGCCTTCAGAATCAGAATTTCATAACTTGACCATGTCATACTCTAACATGCACTATATGTCCAAAAATATCAGGCACTCCTTGAAGGTGCGCCTATTGCTGATTTAGTTCAATTCCACACAAACAGCTTTCATAATGTCCAGAAAAAGGCATTGCCAATAGAATAGGATGCTTTGAAGCTTTTAAATCTCGCAACATTGGTCTGAAGTGATGGACCACAACTGAATAATTCTGGTATGAGTGCCATTTTGTGATCCAGAAATAATCATTCAACATCAGTATCTGACTTCACTAAGTGTGGCTAAATGCAACCAAATCCTCGCATTGCTCCAACATCTGGTGTAAAGCCTTCCCAGAAGAGTAGAGCAAAGGAGGGGAAAGTCCCTGTTAATACATTTAATGTCGGAAGAAACGTTGGACATGCAGGTGTCTACAAACTTTTGAACATGGAGTGTATTTTGTTGCATGAAGCACTGGTGCTGAACAGAATAGAGGACCACCTTCGATTACCCTTCATAGAAATATATATATATATATATATATATATATATATATATACATATACATATATAAACTTTTTTAAACTAAAGTGCAGGTCAGAGAGGCTTCTATACGTTGTTGGTACAGTCATGATACAGGTTGGTGTGTCTGTCCACGTGAATGTCAAATCGACATGAGCACACCTACCGATTTTATGATTCATCAAGGTTATAAAACCGACAAAGCCCATTGGGTAAGTACCGGAAAGTCTACACATTTATACCACGTATCCAGTTTCCTTGACTTACTGCTACTAGACAGTGACCAGACCAGTTGCTCGTAGGCGTGATGCTGGGCAGGTCTGTGAAGTGTCAGTGAATGGGCACAAGCACGTCATTGTCATTCTAAACCTGTTTTGTTTTTACGTCAGAACAACGGACCAATCACTGAGAACCACAGACGACGCTTCTGTACGATGACGTAAAATTACCTTAACTTTATTTAATTCACAGCGTTCAATTTATGTGAAGTATTTTTAATATCAACAAAACAGCATGAAATAACTTTCTGACTTACTGGTAAACATATATGGCACTTTGGAAAACAGCGTTTCATTCATACTACGATCGCTTCCGTTTCCGGGTAGTCGCTTCAATCTGCCATATTCCGTCGATTTCTCGCAGCCGGGGCTTCCGCGGCGCAGACCTGTACGTTGTCCGTTTTTTTTCCCGGGGGATGGTCTTCCATTTAACACCGATAAATTAGACAGAGAGACACAGGGAAAGGCTGGTGATTGTGTGAGGAAACGTTACAGACAGAAAGGCAGAGATGACGACGCGTTCGGAGAGGGAGAAGGCTCAGAAACTGAATGAGCAGCATCAGGCCATCCTGTCCAAAATGCTCCGGGAGGAGGACAACAAATACTGCGCCGACTGCGAGGCGAAAGGTAAGCGCTGCTGCCGGGGAGCCAGCTGTGTATGTCCCCACTGTGGGAGTTAGTAACGTCTCAATGTCAGGTGGCGTTTCCGTGCCGCATTAGCGGAGCCATTGATTCTCTCGTTTAGCACTAGTCGGCTAGCCAGCCAGCTAACAGCCGTGTCTCAGCAGGCTAGCAGTGCTAAAGGCGGCTAGCGAGCCATCGGTGTGTTAATGGGGAGGGAGAGAGGGAGAGAGAGAGAGGAGTGCAGCCTGTCAGTCAGTCTGTGGAGTGGAGTGCCCTTGAACGATGAGTTATAATTTATGCATGAATGGAAAACGTGTCTGGAACCGATAATTAGATTGTTCCTATGCAGTTTTGTTGGGTGTTCATTTAAAGTGAAACCCTCCTCACTGACAATAAGTGATGGTAACGTGTTAACCTGTAAACCACGTTTTACAGTATCGTTTCAGTACTACTCTGTCACTAATGACATGATAACGGAAAATTTAGCATTAAGAATATACATACTGTTTACGCAAAATTCACGTGTAAATTTCAATCAGTGGTTGCAGTTGGCAAATACTGGCAACGTTATGCACTTAACCCAGCTTTCACTAGCCTGATAATCGATTTGTGAAACCAGATCTACTCCATCACAGAAGCTTTTATTCCAGATCGCAGTTTAGCAGTGCTACTATCAGTACTGGGCAGCCTCTCAGTAGTGCTAGTTTATTTAAAGGGAGCGTTAGATGACTCATCTGTGATGCTCCTAACTTCTCAGGTGCATGTAGGCTCTGAGTTATCTGTGGTTGAGGGATCTTAGGTGACATGAGATTTCATGAATATTTCATTGTGGAACTTCGGTCCTGAAAGAGCAGATTTGTTTTGTTTTTGTGGGAGAAGGGTTTGCAAATTAAGGAACAGAAAGCGTATAGACTGTAAGCTAGCGGGATTCATCCTGTAGTTTTGTTTTGTATTTGGTTCTGGTTTAGTTTGGGGTTGTCAAGAAACAATATAAGTTACATCTGCAGTGCTGTGTGTATAGACAAGTTGCTTTATGCTGGCTCAGATAAGCAAAGACTTCAAGACATTACCAAGTTCACATGGTTGTGTTCAAGTAAATGTGTGTTGGGTGTAAAAGTAGAGTGTATGGCTGTTGTGGTTGGCATGCCCTGTTGATTCTTTGTGCCTCTGTGTTCTGAGTTGTTGAAATCTTAAAATGTTGTCTCAATCGTTTTGTAAATGTGAGTGAGATGTTAGCACTCAGAGAATGAAAGGTTGCATTCTCATTTCCTTACTTGCTTACGTGGTAATGCTTCCTATTCGTTCGCTTCCTTCATTTTCATAGAACATCATTTGTTGACAAGCAGAACAGTGTTGGACTGCTGAAGTTTGGGTGTTTTTAGCAGGTCCCTACATGGAAGCTTGCGGCTTTTTGATAGGAATCTCTCTTTTTTTTATGTTTTTTCCCCTAGTTCGTTATAGTTACAGTGTCACAGGCCTTAAAACTGTGTTGTTGTCCTGCTCTTGGAATTCTTGGCTGTAAATTCAGTTTAGTTATTCTGAAGCCTGTTTTATTCCATTTAGCTCTTCACCAACATGATTGGAACTGTATTATAGACAGAGTCTCTCCTGACTGTAGTATCTGAGAAAGAGAAAGAGAAAGGTAGTAAGCTACCCCAGTTCTGTGATGAGTTCAAGAATCATTTTGCCATTTGCTCCATAAAGAAGTGTCACTGTAATTTGGTGAGTTTTATCGTTGGGTGAGTATGAGGTATGAGTAGAAATCACTGGCTCTTTCAGCTCATCTGCTGTGTTAGATACAGACCTTCTTGCCACTTTCCACCTCTGGTTTCTGTTTTACACAGTTTTTATCCAGAAAGAGGAAACAACCTCCTTGGTTTCTGTAGTTTAGTCATGGCTTTGTTTGCATTGTTGTTTCTTATCCTCTGATAGCCGCTGTGTATGTGCAAAATCTGAATTGGCTTGGTGTGCCATGCGCGCTATGTCTGAGTGATAGGCTAGAGACATTAAGTCCCCTGCCCCTTTATAGACATAGCGAGAGTCTTCAGTTACGTCTGCGGCCAGGTAGGCTGTATTCCCTCTGGTCTGACTGGTTAGCATATTGTGTGTAAACAGCTGCTGATGCTGGCTGTTTGTTGAGACAGAGCTGCGTGTGTTATGGACTGATTACTGGCATATAGTAGGAAAGACAGACAGACATGCACTGCTGTCTGCCAGATAAACCAAGAGGGGCGTATGGCATTAGGGGAGTTGGGCGTGTTGTATTTCATGGATGTGATGAGATCTGACGCAGTAATCAGCCAAACATGAGTGAGCACAGTGGCTCCAGAGGGTTTTAATCTTTCTTTACAAGACTGCTTACACACTGATCTACAGCCAAACAGTCAGGTACATACACATATACTGTATGGCCAAAAGTATGTGGAAACATCTATTAATTATTGAATTCAGGTCTTTCAGTCACATCCATTTGCTAAAAGGTTAATAAAATCAAGCACACAGCCATGCAATCTTCACAGACAAACATTGGCAGTAGAATGGGTCATAATGAAGAGTTCATTGACTTTAAATTTGGCATTGTCCTAGGATGCCACCTCAGTCATAAGTCAGTATGTGGAGATTGCATTTCTGTGTGCTTGATTTTATTAACCTGTTAGCAATGCAGTCTTCACAGACAAACATTGGCAGTAGAATGAGTCTTAGTGTAGAGCTCAATTACTTTTAAATGTGACACTGTCCTAGGATGCCACAGCTGCCACGAGTCAGTTTGTGACATTTCTGCCCTGCTAGATCTGCCCTCGTCAACTGTAAGTGCTATTATTGTGAATGAAGTGGTTGACCACGCAAACACGCAAAGTGAGGCCGCTGAGTGCTAAAGCATGTAACGCGTGATGCCAGAGAACACTATCCACTGGAATGCATAGTAATAAACATAAAGTTTGGTGCAGGGATAGTGGTCAGGGGCTGTTTTTCAGGGTTTGGCCTGAGGCCCTTTAGTCCCAGTGAAGGGTAATGTAAATGCTACAGCATACGAAGACATTTTCTCTATTATATGCTTCGAACTATGTGGTGAAAGTTTCGGAAAGGCACCTTTCCTGTTCTAGCATGACTGTGCCCCTGTGCTCAAAGCGAGGTCCATAAAGGACATGGTTTGACAAGTTTGGTATGGAGGAACTCCAGTGGCCTGCACAGAGCCCTGAACTCAACCCCACTGAACACCACTGAGATGAAATGCA